CAAGCCGTCCGCATAGTGTTCCGCCGTCTGTACCGCCTGCGTCTGCGCCGGTTCCTACGCCCGCACCTCCGACTGGAGGAGTTACGATCATCCAACAGCCGCCAGTAGCTCTCCCGCCGCTTCCACCTTCGCGAGGCAGCCATCATCATAGTCATAGTCGCCCTTCGTCTCCTCGCTCCCAACAGGACATTCACATTCACACCGAGAGGCCACCAACCGTCCTTCCCTCCGCCTATCCACCAACCATGGTTCCAGGGATGTTACCTGGGACTATGATAGGAGGACCTCCCCCGGGAGGGCCTGGCCATCCGCAGATGATTGTTCCTGTTGCAGGTCCGCAACCACCCACAGAGGTTGTCGTGCACACGGATCCGCGGCAGCCTTCACCCTGGTACGACGATCCTCACCGCGGCCGTCGGCGTTGGCGTGATCATGAGGGACGGCATCACTATTCTCCTGGAGAAGGCAGACGTCCATTCGGCTACGAACACGATCCTGGATATTCGCCACCTCGCCGACACAGGAGTGGTCGAGATTCAAGTCGGGAGTCGAGCGCTGATCGTCGCGCACGCCGGGACAGGCGCGAGCGCCGCCGCCAAGAGGAAGAAGAGGAAGACCGTGCTCTGCGTGATCGAGCACTGCGTCTGCGACAGACTCGAGAGGAGGAGGAAAGAGACGCACAGGCTGCCCATGAGCGACGCCGTCGTCAGCGGGAAGAGGATGAGGCGCATGAGGAGGACATACGCCAACGTCGACGTCAGGATCGTGAGCGTGCCCGTTCCCCAGACGACGATGCGCATCGCAGACCGCGAAGGTCGCCGCCACTCAGTCGTCCCGGAACCACACAGGAGGACCCGGAGCTTGGCCACCGAACACACACTCGTCCGGGGACGCGCCCTAGGGTCGACTCTCCCACTGGTACTCAAGTCCCACCACCTCCGAGTGCGTATGGCGGCACACATGCGGGAACGCACGGTCCCGCAACGCAATACGATCCTACTCGACCATACCCGCCAGGTCCTGGAACGCAATATGATCCCACCTATCACCCGCCAACGGAGATACCTGCTCCAAGTCCTCGCCACCCTATCCAATTCTCCAACCTGGATCGGTTAGCACAGGATGACGAACGCGGACGACAGCTTGCTACCAGAGCACAGGAACTGGAGGATGCTCGCGCGCGCGCAGAAAGTCTTGAACGAGCGCATCGCAATGCTCTGGCCGAGGCTCATGATGCGCATGGCAATCTCACGAACCGTTTCGACGCCGCGGAAGTTGGCCGCGAGGACATGTTCTCTCGTCACGAGGCCGACCGCCAACGCTTGTTCGAAGAAGGAGAAGATCGCCGTCGTGCGGAAGCTGAGGCTCGTAGGCAAGCGGCCATGTTCTCGATCCCGGCGACCATCCCTCCTACGACTCCTGGGCCTGGCACGGAATATATTCCGGGGTCAGAGCCACGGCCACCTTCCCGACTGCCCACACCCCCAGTGGCTGCACCCGTCGTTGACGTTCCAGCTGCTCCCATTCCTGTCGCAATTGACCTCACCGAGCAACGTCAACTCCTCGAGGATATGGCAGCGCAGATGCAACGACAGATGGCTGAGCAGCTGGAGTTGATGCGCCAACAGACGGAGGCTGCCGCCGCTGCCGCGGCAGAGCGCGAGAAGACTCTTCGCGAGATGGTCGAAGCTGCCGTAGCCCAACGCGAGGAGGAGGACCGAGCTCGCGTTATGGCCCTGGAGGAGGAATTGCGCAAGGCCCGTGAAGAGCAGGAGGAGGCTCGCCTCGCTCGAGAGCAGTCTCTCCAGGAGCGGATGGATCGCGATATCCAGCACATCAACGAGAACTTCGACGGCGTAACCGCGACGCTTGGTGACATTACGAACCGCATGAAGGACCGAGACGAAGCTGAGCTCAAGTATCGTGACGCTCTTGATGCACGCTACAACGACAAGGGACCGCGGCGCGAAGAGAAGGAGGCCAAGCGCTTGGAGATCTTTGGTCTACTGGAGCGCCTGGTTCATTGCTGCGATGAGTTCAAGGAACGCGGGAATGAGGACCGCGCTACTGCATCTGCCAGTGAGTCTGATGGTTGTGTGCTGGTCATCGTCCTAACTCTCTGCCCTAGATCATAACGATATTATACAACAACTGGGGCAGCAGGGGGCCGACCTAAACGAGCAACTACAGGCTGCACAACAAGGTAAGCATCTCCCTCGATGTTGACAACTTGGCAGCTCATCGCCGTCATAGCTCTTCGTCAGGACCAGGCTGTGCACCATGACGATATCATCAGGGAGATACGCGACTCTGCGCAGAACATCCAGTTCCCGAACATAGAAGATGTCAGTCTTCATCAACTTCGCTACTTTCTCGTACTTATTGTTGTTGCAGTACCTCAATCGCTTCAGTCGTTCGCTCGCAGAGGAAGTGAGGCTTCTTGTCGAGGAAGTGGGCAACTTGCGGCACGAGAAACGCACGATACAATAGTACGTGTAGACAACGGTCGAACGTTTGCATGCTAACTCGTTCACAGTGAGATTGGCGAGTATATGCAATGGCGGGCGAAGCTCGAGCCGGGCGGGCAATTTGACAATACCTGGTTAGTCTATCTGTTCAGACTGGCGCTGTTATTGACTATCGCGCTGCAGGCAACCAACTACCCGCCATTGGCAGCCACCAGGCTGGGGGCCGCCGCCGCCGCCCGGTGGACCGATGCCGCCGCTAGGCGGAGAGTTTGAAGAGGTGGAGGTGCCCACTGCGCGCCCGGCGTGGAGGAAGGTGTCGACGAAAGGCCCCAAACTGAGGAAGAGCGCTGGCAAGGAGAACGCCCCTGCTCCGGGTCCGGCACCCTCCATGATGGGAGGTCCCTCGATGATGGGAGGTCCGTCGATGATGGGAGGCCCGCCTGATAATGCATCGTGGACTACCTGGCATCGTACGTCCAAGACGCGCTTGAGTGAACCCTTACTGAACCCCATTACAGCCAGCAGAACCAACCGACCTTCGCCAGTCCCACTCCCCACTCGTCCTGACCAGATCGTTCCGGAGACGCCGGTTCAGCCTGGTTCGTGGTTGATCTTGACATTGTGGCTTGTGCTAACGACACTGCGCAGCTCTTTTCGGACCTCGCACCCCTGCAGCTGGACGGCGCTAGATGTACTCGTAGGATAGATGGATGGTGGACGAATCTTTTTCATGATCTTTTACGTCGCTTGCTTGAATCTTGTTTGTTCGCGCGTGTCTTCTCGTCTTGTACTGTATCATAAACAACCGTCATCTCAATCTTATGCTTTCTTCTCTCGTTTCTGCTGTTGCACGACGGTCGCTGGGCCTGCGATTCGATGCGCGTCGCTTTCTCTCTGCACGCGGGACGTTCGAGGAACCCTCGCGACCTGGGCTGTTCTACCATCTGGTGCAGACCCACACGAGGCCTGTGTTCGCGGTCAGCTTGCTGGAGACCGCACCGAAGAGCATCAATTCCGCGACCGTCATCGGTCTGCTTCCTGCACCAACTGAGGACGAGCTTGGAACTGAATCCGACGCGACGCTCGAGGACTTCAAGCCAAACCGTTGGTCGTGCAGGTGTTGTGAGCTTAGCCGGCGACCTGACTTCGCCTCGTAGCCGTTTTCCGGGAACTGCTATTCAAAAGCGTAAAAGACGGACTGGCCAGAGGTGTGGACGATGGCCTAGCTACTCTCGCGAAGACTGTTCGAGACGGCTGGCTGCATGTCAATGACGAGCGGAACGAGGCGGCGAAGACTGGCGATCGCATTGGCTCGCCAGACGACATCGTCGGCTCAGTATGCGTCAAGGAAGGAAAGGTACGTACCCGTGGGTCTCTGTCGCGTTTATGATACACCCTAACCTTCATGCGGTCTACAGATAATCCCAGATACCTTCGAACCAATGCCCTCGTACCGGCTCTGCACGCCAGACGGCGTCGTCAGACTCTCCGACCCACTCATGGCGTACCTCATAGAGCGCTTGAAAATTATCCAGGAGACAGAAGAATAATTGTAGATGAACTTCACGCCGTACTCAATCCTATCCGCTCGAACTTGCTCAAGCGTCTGGTTCTCGCATCTCTCCACACAAAACATCGTCGCCCCCTACCGTCGTTCGGTCTGCGCGGCTTCTTTCGCGTGACCAGCTGAATGACAATCCTTGTCCACGCTCGAAGAGCCGTCCGTGACGAGATTGTGTGCAGAACCTGAGCCTCCGCTTCAAGTTCCTGGTCTGTCGCCACCAGGATAACGACTTCCGCGAGGACGTTGAAGGGAAGCCTGCGAATTGGCGCAATGCATACCTCGTTGTTCGCAATCCTTGCGCTTCGCATGCCAGGTAGCCGCAGAGAACCCGCAGACAGCATCAGTCCGCGATCTGAACGGAGAGGCTTTCAATCTCGAGTTTCGCGTTATCAATGTCCTCGATACGACAGCGAACGGCTTCAATCTCACCTGCACAAGGTGACAGTGCGCACGAAAGAGGAGCGCAAACGAGAACGAAGACTTGCCAGTAGCGGATGCGGTAGCTGGGACCGACTTCAGAAAGGCAACCGTCGCGGAGACTTACGACTTGGACGCATATGTATACTAAGACTTCTCCCACTCCGTCAACGACACACTGCCGTCAGAAATGTTACAAAGAAGAAAGGTGAGGACCCTGCAAACTCCAAGCGGGAATTCGATACTTCGATTCTCCGCTTCGAAGTCCAGCTTCCTCCTCCCCCTCAATGAAATCTTGACACGGGATCGATTCCCGGCTGTGGATTATTCTGTTTTGGAGCCCCATAGAGCCAAAAAAACACTGGGTTCGTTTAACGTTCCAAGGACAGCCCCGCTGCATTGTCTAATGTCGTGCTTACGGTTGAAGGGGACCTGTCCGGACGGCAAACTACCGGGAGAGACACGAGCTGTGGGGGTGTCCGCTCACGGTCTTCAGAGCGACCGTAAAAGGAAAGAACTCTAAGACGCAGCGATGAAAAGGCAAAAGGGAAGGGCCCAAACGGGAATTGAACCCGTGACCTCTCGCACTTGAGAATACCCAAAGCGAGAATCATACGACTAGACCATTGGGCCGCATGACAGAGCTGACTCAGGTGCATACCTATCTGGTTGGCAAACATGCAAACTGGAAAGGCATAGCTATTGTGAGAGAAGCAGAGCACGAGAGGAGAGCGACGAAATATATTCTGTCTCTCTAAAGGAACTAGAGAGATTTGCAATGCGAAGCGGATGATAAGGACGGCGGCGGCATTCCACTGCGCCGCGGCGAGCAGGGAATCGACGGTAGCGGGCCTTCAAGACTTCGAATCACTGTATGCTCCATTCCTTCCCTCTGCTGACACTATCGCCTTTTCAGCTTTCAAGTTATGTCTCGGTACAGGGCACGGCCACTTCCATCGCCGCAGCCAATTAACATTGACATGCTCGAGGCTCGAGCGCGGCGATGAGCTATGCCGAACGTCATTCCTCCCTCGGTAGGAACAACATATTCGAAGAGTTTAGATACGCCGCGGTCGGCTTTACGAGACACTGGGTGTGATCGAGCATCAGGGAGAATAGGTACGGACGAAGTCGGACACGACGGTAGGGAATTTCTCGCTCTTCACAACATCATCATGCTCCTGGTCGAATCCATCCCAGTCCTTCGCGACGAGACTTCCGTCGTCGCCGTGAAGAAGTCTGAGTCGATCGTACATGGTGCTGGACTGCACTTGGTCGACGAGGGTGTCGCCTGTGGAATGGATAAGGAGCCAGGGGATCCGCGTGCTCCGTGCAGTGAAGTTATTGACAGAGACATCGCGGTAGGTCTCGCTTGCGCCGAACGCGCTCTCTATGAACCACCCGCGGTAAGGGGGGAAGCTCTGGAGGAGCAGGTCGATGTCGAATATTCCCTCAGTGGTAATGACGCCCCGCACAGCGCGCAACAGCGAATCCGAAGGCGCAACTGACGGGCTCGAGGACTCTGAAGGTGAGAGGAGCATGGTGCCGAGTATATGAGCGCCGCAGCTCTGGCCGATCGCGAAGATCGCCTCGGCGTTGTAGTAGGGCAGCTGGTCGACGGACGTCGCGCTGGGCTCTGGCGGCTGTCCGTTCCAGGTCCTGAGGAACTCGAATGCGCGCAGTACGTCACTTGTATGCGTCGGGTGTTGGATTAGTTCACTCGAATCGGCTGGCTGGTTGCGTGGGCCGGACAGTGAATAGTTGGGCACTGCTACGGCACAGCCGGTGGCAGCAGAGAGCCGGGCTGCGAGCTCGCGGTGGTTGGACTTATCGTCCCTGTTGGATGCAAAGTGAGCAGCGTGGGCCTGGATCGCTCGTTGACTAACGCGATCCAGGCTCCCCCGCGCACGAAGACGATGAGCGGCTTAGTCTTCGTCTCGGAATCGTGGACGTGCAAGTCGAGCGTGAGCCTCGCGCTTGGCGGGCTTGTGTATGGGATATCCAGCAGGAGCATTGGCGCGAGTGCGGTCTCAACGCGCGGAGTTTAGAAACGTGATGTTCACAGCGTAAAGTACGGACTTATCGTGCCCTTGTCGAAGATCTTGCACTCGAGAGCGGCGAAGTGAGCCTCTTGAGAACAAGAACTGAGGAAGCCCGGCTCAAAGTTCCTGATTTCTTATACCAGGGAACGGTGTAAGTCCGAGTCATTGAGCGGCCCCGGACTGCGGCTGCGGCCCGGACAATATTAATGACAGCTATCAAGACGGTGTCATGACCATGATGATGGTCGTGGCTTCGACTTGAAGTTCGAGTACCTGGTCACGCTAAGTAAGTACTACACGGTCCATCCCATGCAAGGGAGAGAGAAGAACTCGTCTCCGACAACCAACGCCCAGGAGAGATTGGCCCTTCATCATAGTCACCTTGCTTGCTAGGTCCATCCCGACTCATCTGTGGTATTTTTCCGAACTTGTTCCGCATCAACGCTCCTCCGGAGATAGTGATTGCTGAGTCAGCTGCCTGCTCATCATCTGAGGCCGAGTCGCAGCTTTCATCCTTTCGCAGGCTCCATTCGAACTGCTTCAATGTAATTGTCCTCTGTGGGATTTATCTTGAAGGTACCCACTAGAATGGCAATTTACGTTGAGCTAACTATATTATAGTGCTACCAATGTCAATTGAGCGTGCTCCGGTTTGGCTCCAGTGTCCGTCTGCGAGCATGACATTTGATCCTTTCATCGAGCTCTCCTGAACTGCTTGTCGCATGATCTACAGTCTCTTTCCTGTTGCCTGATCTGTCAGCTTACTCAACCAAGGTGGACTGCTGGCGTAGCCGGCCGTAGTTGAATCGTTCGGTCCTGTAAACAGGGTCCAGGCGACTGCCACACCGACTTGCAGACAAGAGAAAGCGGCGGGACGCAGCCGGCGCGTGAATAGGCATAGCTACGACGTGCTTCCTTAAGGAAGACCAGGCAAACTCGCGCAGCAGATGTGATCTGTCTTCCGTGAACCGAACGACGTGGTGGGAGACAAGCGAGCCAGTCGGACTTTGGGCGCTGCCACTCTGCCAGTCAGTAAGGTATCCGCAAAGTGCACCTATTCGGCCGAAAGAGATGCCACTTTCAAGGCTTTGTCTCGTACGTGATGTCGCCGATTAGCCGCTACTGGCGACGCTGTCAAAGACTCTGGATTATGCAGCCGGCGAACGACCTCGTGCGGGCCGTCCAATTCCATCGTTGCATGCTGATGTTATAATCTCAACTCGTCACCAACGGGCGCCAGCCTCGCGTTAGCCTCACCACCCCGCAGACCTCCCGTCCTTGGTCCTCCCCATCTGATCAGCACCGCGAAGACGCCGGGCGCCCAGTTGTGACGCCGACGCCCAACTGGCGCCCGGATCTCGGTTCTCCAACTTCTTCCGAAGTTCTTCGAAGGCCCAACACACCGCATTCCGGGCGCCATGACTCGCACTGAGCGCTGAGCGCTGATCATACCCAATCCGTTCACCGGGCCCCGTGGGTTGGGCCTGTAAATCCCTTCGCGTCAACAAAGTGTCGAACTTGGCGATCCCTCTCTCACTCGCCTTCCTGACGTGCAGCGCAGCACCACAGAATGCCAACGTCCTCGCTGTCGACTTCGACCTCAGAGGCAAAGAAGAGGAAGCCTCCGACGGCACCTTTCAGGCGCGATCCTTTTCAGGAGCTTCCTGCAGAGGAAGATGCTGTCGTCTCGTCGCAGCCCAAGTGGATTGAGCTGGTGCGTCCTACAAGTCCCTCTGTGCATCAGTTGGACTCATTGAGCTGTGCGCAGTTTTATGGTCTGTTCTGTACCTGTTTCCTTCGCCGTCATGCTACTTATGCAGGATTCTCTCCCCAGACTTGGCCTGGACGATGACCTTTGCGGGGCTCAACTCGGGCACCGCTCCAAAGGGACCACTCGTACGCCCACTTGATATGAGATCTCCTGAGTTCTCTGACATCAATCCTCAGACTGTGGGATCGTACATAGTGTTCTTCACGCTCGTTTGGGCAATGTGGCTTCAGCAAGTGCGCCTCCCTTACGCCGCATGTGCCTGGAGAGAAGAAATTGACACGCATCGGCGCAGACTATCTACCACACAAACTTCTACACAAGCGACGCCTACCATCGAGCCGTGCTACTCATGCAGTTCATCATGCTCGGCTTTATTGCTGCTTTTACAGACGACTTTGACGTCTCTCTTGGTGCGTAGTACAGCAGGGGACTTGCAGTGTATATTTGATACTGACTAAATTACAGGCATCACCGCGGCATCCAATGACCAACAGGCTATCGTGTACGCTCTGCCCACCTCTCTTGTTGGTCTGTCTGAAGCTTACGTGTCTGCTATAGCAAGGAGACTTACGGTCTTCGCGGATTTCACGCCTTGTCCATCATCTTTTTTCTATCGCGCCTCCTCCTCGTTGCAAGCTACCTCGATGGTACGTACGATCTCCCAATTATGTGAGTTCTCATCCCTCATTCTCCCCTCACCAGTGTGGCGTCGCGGTAGACGCATAGCAGCTGCAGACGTGAAACACGTTCTTCGCTACGTCGTAATGCTCTCCCTCTCCGCCGCACTCTTCCTCGTCACGTTCATTACGACTGAGCTCCGCCCGCGATCTCCAGCTGTAAACATCCTGAAACTCGTTTTTTGGGGAGTGGCGATTGCGATTGAGATTGGGACGTACGTTACAACCCCTCTCAAGCGTTCTGTCGGCGCGAAGAAATGCGCAAGTCCTATGGAGGAGAGACTGTCTGGTCTGACAATCATCGTCCTTGGAGAAGGTACGTCAATCGATTGCTTGCTACATCGCCCTCGCGTCAGTCTCACGGTGCCTGGCACTCTGCGCAGCGTTGAACAGCTCCATCGACCCCAGCGTACAGGCTGTCAAGTCCATCGCGTTGAACGCCAAGATAGGGGCTCAGATATTTTCCTTTGCGTGCGCATCATTCTCTCCCTTACCATCCTTCCACTGTGTGCTCATCCCCGCTATGACAGGATGATGGTGTTTACGACGTACGTTCTCTACGTGTCAGTACACAGCGCCGCGTTGGCCGCCACTTCCTCTCTGAGGGGGAGACTGGCCGTGGCCTTCCACCTCCCGCTGCAGCTATTCATCATTCTGGTAGCTGAAGGTCCGTTTCCTGCTCCCATAGCTTGGCAGCCTGGGCATGACTGACCATTTTGCTTACTCGCAGGTGCCAAAGCTGTCATCAGCATCACGGCGAGTATCCTAAATTTCACTTCACGGGGTCGACTAACGGGACACGAAGGCTCTAAACGAGACTCTGCTCTGGTTTCAATATCAAATCTACCCATTCATTACCAGTCATCGAAATATCCAAACTGCCACTCAAGAAGTCTCGTTTATGTTCGCGGCCGTCGGATTGGATATTAATGCTCTAGTCAAACGCATCGAGCCCGTACTTGCCACACCTGCAGGGGCTGTGCATGACAACGAGCTTTTGATCCGGCTTATTGCTGTCCTTTACCAAAAGGCGTTCAGCGTAAGCATGACTATGTCTATTGCATCGGGGGCCGGACACTGACTCGGCAACTGTAATAGGACTACGGCTACAACGACGCGGAGGACGAACTCAACACATACGCC